TGGTGATCCCTTACTTCAAAGATTAAACACCTTTCCTTAAACACCTTTCCGAAATCATCGAAGAAGTCTATACAAAGGGGAAACCAACCAGCTCGAAAACCATCCAGCAAATACAAGTCCAACAACAAAGCTAGGAACTCCTGTGGAAATTGCATGGGCTCTTTGTACCAAGTAGGGCATCCCTGGGACTACAGGTAGGCTTGCCTTCCTGCAGAGAAAAATCGACCAGGAACACGCAACATAAGTGTACAGTACTATTTATATTCAACTTGAGATGCTTTAGTGTATACACCCAAACAAATTATGGTTGAGTCATTAGCATGTTAACAAAAACAATATATATATATATATATATGTGTGTTGCCATATGTGTATCATTTAATAGTGTTTCAACGTTATAAGCACTTTGAATCAATAATTCAATTTGTAGCTTATTGACAATTCCAATTGATGTTTGGATGGTTCTCAAATGTAACACAATATGTCTTGCCATTCCACAACTCATGACTCCTAAATCACACCATCTCTGATCGCTTCCTTCGGCACTACCACCAACTATCATTGATTTCCTGTGCATACTCCTGGGCCGTCAACAAAGCAAAGCCTAACTTTCCGGAAGCCTCCAACCAACTTCGCCATGGTTCTTTACACTGCACAACTTGGTTATGGTTCGACATCCCTGGTGCGGAGTAAGTCTCTAAGTGGAGCGGTTCGCCCGGCAAACGAAGGGCGGGCCAACAAAAGAACCTGAAAGCAATGGGTGAGGTCGCACAAACCTGTGCCACGATTCGTCCAGACACTGGCCAGCTGGTTCATGGTTCCTTAGGGTTTTTAGGTTTTGAGTTGGTTGAGTGGTTGGGTTCCCACTTAACCCATTGAAAGTTAAACTTGTAGCAGGGATCTGAGGACTGCCCAGTTTCCTTGGTAAACGTTGACGCTGTTGCTAAAACTTTGTCTTGCAGAATGGGGAACCAAGGAAACACAAGGCTGATCAGGCCCTTTCCCTCTTGGCCTTTCCCTGATTGGAACCCTGAACCTCCTGTCCGCGACCTTCTTTGGTCGTCCGAAGTTGAAAGGGATACCTTCACTGGAGGGGGATTTACACACCAAGCATAGAGGGTGGGCACAAATGTATCTGCCATTTTAGAGTTTAGAGGGAAATGTTGAATTTGGTCACTTTACTGGGCCCAGTATGCTTAACAAAAATCGCACGGACCCCCAACATCATGCATTTGCGTAAGGTGCTACCTATCAACAGGGGTACCACCAAACTGGGTGTATTTTCAACCAGCCATCTGGGTGTTTCTCAAAATGATGAACCCTGGCGTTTAGAAGGGACACCAACAGGAATTTGGCTACCACCGAAACTGGGCGCATTTCACCCCAGCCATCTGGGTGTGACCCAAATAGTTGGACCCCTTGAGGAATCTTTTGGATCTCCTATGAGACAATTCAGCGGCCTCCTCTCTAACCCCGAAATCGGCCCGCGCCTCAACCCTGTACTCCGCTTCGCCTGCGCAGTGAGCGTCGCTGCGGGCCGACTGACCACTACGACAGCGGCCAAAAGATTATGGCTCGTGTGCTGGCAAAACAGACCGCGAGCGGTTCATGTGCCTTCCAAGTTCACCATAGACTACCAGTCATTTTGACCGAACCTACAAGACGTGCCGAAACTTTATCTAGGCGACTCGACCTCCGGGCTGACACCGGCGCTTTGGCAACCCTGATGCTTGGAGTCCAAAAGCAAATAGGGAACCTGCAGTCTCATCGACTTGAGGAAATCAAGTTGCCTCCACCGGGGACACTTGAAATTCGGAGTGACACCCCTGTTCCAGGGTCATAGAGTTGGAGGTTCACATGTCTCAAATCAAATCGACTGAAAGCTTGCAGCTTAAATCAACACATCGACCTAACAACGGCCACGAACCACAGTTTGGAAGCTTCAACGTTAGTTTCGGACTAGTCAGCAAATGGTGGACCAAACATCGCTGAGGAGTTGTCACGTGCAAGCACAGGAGCTGAAAATAAACCCAATACTGAGTCATGGTCCTCAATGGACCCCAACAGGCACCATCAGTCACAAATCAGCGTTGGACTGGGCCGCCTGGAAAACGTTACGGAACGTTCTGCTGCTTGACAGCGACAATACAGGAAAACCAAAAAGGCAAAAGGTCGAAAAGGTAAGCTAGGTCTGGCAATGTAGTCACCAGGCTGCAATCCGCTTTCACTAAGTCAGTTCAGCTGAAGAAAGCGTGCTCTTGGATCAAAAGTAGTCCGCTTGGGGAAAACTGAAAACAGCGCTGGGCGTCGTCCCCGCAAAAAGTCAACATCGGGACAGAAAGAAAGAAAGAAAGAAAGAAAGAAAGAAAGAAATAATCAAAGAAAGGGCATGGTGTGTATGTGTGTGTGACCCCCCCTCAACTATATATATATATATGCATGTATATACATACATATATATATATATACATATATATATATATACATATATATATATATATAAATCGATGACGTTGTGCTAAACTGTATCATGGTCGCTGCAGAAAATCAAATGGTTTTAGAGTCTGATATTTCGTCCACCAAGTATACACTAACTTTGGAGGGACACCCAGGCTGCCTTTTTAAGATGAGGTTCGTCTTCGGTACCAAACAAGGAGAGAAGATCTAGTCTTGGGCTCAGCCTCGTTGCAACATGTCTAGATCGCTGTTCAAGCCATTCGGTTGGTTTCCCGGAAACCAAAAACCCTCCGTACCTGACAAAGGATCCCTTCAAGAGGAAATAGATACGGGTACCCTTTTTGGGTGGTATGTTGCTGGAGGTGGGGCAATGCGAACCACTAATTAACAAACCCCTGGTTGATCAATAGAGGGGGTCCGATTTTTGCGGCAATCCTTCGCATTTGGAGGGGACACATTGCTTGTTGCTAGCAGTCAAACCCCCGAACTCCGTCGGCTTCACTGAAAGCAGCACCCAGAAATATGTGTTTCCCCAAATAAATGTGTGGTAGTTGTTTGGTGTCCCCTTAAACCAATCTGAACACACACACACACACACACAGATCCAATCCGGACCCTGCAATTGCGCAGGCGCGCCTTTGTCCATCTCCCGGGTGATGCACAACTCGGATCGGGCAATGGACGTGGAACTCCAAAAAAGAGGGGGTCTGAATCCAAACTCAGCCCGGGTTTCCATGGGGAAAAAATCACGTGTTTTGTTGGTTGTTGTTAAAGGGGCATCTTTTCAAAGAAGAAAATTGCCAAGCCCCCTCTTCTTCTAGATGGTGCTCAAAAAAGAAACCAAATGGAAGCCCACCCCAGAGGTTAGACCCTATTCTTTAGGACATGCTCCGCATGTGCTCTTGACCAAAGGGAAGGCAAAAGGAAAAACGCAAATGGGTGCATCTGCTTTTGGAGGGTACCCCTTTCTTGTGCTGTTCAAAGCAAACAAGGAAATCAACCATTTAGGGGATTCCCTAAAAGACACAAATTAGGTTCAAAGACAGCACGGGAAATGCTATGGAGTGGTTGCTTGGTGTGTGCGTTTCTCTGGCGAGAATCTCAGTAGCCAGTTTGATTGAGATTGTCTAATATGTTTTGTCTGAGCCGCATACCAGCAGCCCCAAGCCACTACAGGGAAAACCGTGGCTTGTCTCGTGGCTGTGGGGTAGATTCGGTGGGGTGAAACCAGCTTAGAGATAAGTTGACCCACCTGGTGTCAAAATCCTAAGATCCTGAGAGACAAAACAGCGAAAAGGGCCCGGCAATGGGCCAGACGAGCGGATCCCCCCAAACTTGTTAAACTTGGGGCACCCTGTAAAAACAGTGTCCACTTTCTGGTTGAAAGGGAAGCTGCAAACCCCATGGCAATGTCGCAAGTCGATGTATGATCTAAGGATCTCTAACATGGAACAGCACAAGGAGATCGCTCCAATCGCGGGTTCCGCGTTCTGGGGAGTGAGCATCGCACCAACCAGAGTCTCCGCGGGAAAAAAAGAAGAGCGGTAAGCAAAGTTGCCGGAACCGAGTCCTTCTATTGAGTGGCCTGTCTCCGAATCACTGCTGCTCAGCCCACATCCCAGCCCTTGTTGCTTGAAGACCGGCCAACTCCACAAAGGCTCATGGCGATTCCATGTGAATCCCCATGAAGCGGCAACTCATGGCACCGTGAAGGTCCGTGGAAGGCCACATCAGTGGACCTGATAGCTTGGCGCCACATCCATGGCTCGTCTTTTGGTAGCCCCAAAATGGCTTCGGTTTTCCTTTTTCCTTCAAGACCGCCCCAAAAAGCATAGCCTCAAAAACGACGCGCCCCCATACTCGATTCAAATTCCTCGATTGCAGATTTGAGCTCAGTGATGCAGAATGTTCGCATCTCAGGTTGTGTCTCGGGGATCCTGACGGGCGGTTGTTGGCGCTTCCTCGAATAGATTAAAGATCACATAGTCTCCTTAGAGGTCACAGAAAGTGGAACGCTGAAAATCAGAATGTTCCACGTCACTTAGGGGAAGTCTACGGGGAAGTCTATGGGGATGTGGGGAAGAAAGGTCTTTGACCGGTCTGCCGAGGGCCACAAGAACCTTGCCCACGTGCAAATAAGATTCAAGCTGCGCGCGCAAGGACCAGGAAAGGTCAAAAAAGAAAGGGTCGCCGTAAAACAACGGGGATTATTACCCCGCCCCTCCAAATCACTGGGAAATAAAAGTTCAAATGTTTTGCCGCCTTTCCTTCCAAAAGCGCAGAAGCTTGGCTTTCGGCGGAAAATCAGCTGCGCCACTGGGTCTCGCCAAGGCAATTTTGCACTGAGCAGGCCACATATTGATCCACCACCTCCATCTCCTCCTGAGGCAAAAGCACACCATCACACTTGAAGGTGTGGGTCGCCTTCAAGTGAACCTACCAAAAAAGTCTTGATCTGTTCCCCCGACCCCAGAAGCCCATGTTACCGGAGCCCACAAAACCGTCGAAATCGCTTGGCGTCAGCTCGTGCGACGATTCGTCGACTCCTCGTAGAGCAGCGCCTGAAGGCGGCTGTGGAGGAAGACAACCTGCACCAAGTCCTGGCCCCGGGCGTTTTCAAGCTGTCCCATGGCTTTTTTTGAGGGAAGTCAGCCTTTTGGGCCCTATAAACGGTAGAACCCCGTATGTTTGGGCTCTTCATAGATTTCCGCAGCCAGGTCCGTTGCTGAACCTTACCGAAACTGGCCTGAATCCCCCGCGATGTCCACAACCGGGCAACCAGCCGCCTCGTCTTCGAGGATGCCCTGATATTCCGCCATCGCCGTCAGAATGCGGAAGTACAACAAAACGCCTCGGCCGCTCCCAAGCCTCCACCCACTCGTCTGGCAGGAGGCCCACCCGCCCCTCCCGAGGAAGGTCTGGCGACGCGCGCTTTGGGCGCGCTCTTTTTTGCTGAGGGTCACAGAATTCGAGAAGAACATGTCTGTAGCACCCCATCATGTAGACCCCGGATATAACTCATAAGCGGTGTGTTCCCTCAGAAGGTGAAGCTCCCTCTGCAAAGGTTATGCTTATGATTCTTCCCAAAAAGTAGAGTGTCCAGGAATTGAGGGAGTAAGACGAATCCGCGATCGAAAAGGAACCCAACCATGTTGAAAGCACGCATTTCAAGGGAAACCAACCACATGTACAAGTACACCGTTTTTTGGGGTGGCCACCACATCTACAAATTTTACTATACTTCCAAAAGCTGACTTAGGTTCTGGATCTCCTCAAGGACCTTTCGCCTTTCTCATGGTGTTCACCTCGCTACACCCTCAGGGTGAGCTCGCAATAACATAGGCAGACTTTATAAGAAACCTCCCACCACCCACCACCCACCCCACCTACCCCACCCCACCAACCCCTCTGTCTGGCCCCCCCAGCTCACGCCGAAGGCGATGGTCAGCCGCACCACGTGGATGCGGATGGCCGTGGCCAGCTCCCCGTGGAGACGCATTTGGTGCAGCTCCTCCAGCGGACCGACCCGGGCCGAGTCGCCGCCAGGTGAGTCAGAGTCAAAACCCGGTATCAACATGGTCGTAATCCTAGAACCATGTAAAGAATTAAGAAAGCCGCCGCAGCTATATTTATGGCAAGGGGATTGTCTCTTCCTAACCTTCATCTACCCGGGCTTTGATTGTGGCTCATGTGGGGATTGGATTCAATGACAAGACTCACTGGGAAACTGGGTATGGAATAGGGGGTCCAAAAAAGGCATTTTCGCGAAAATTATCCAACCAGCCACCTCACAACTGGGGATTGAATAGGGGGGTCCAAAAAAAAGGTAAAAAACAAATCCAACCCCCCGTTTAGTTTGCAGCTGAAGAACATAGGCTATGTAGCTCCCTGGCAAAACAAAACAAGAAGTCCTGAATTGGAACCGATTCCCTTTAAAACCAGGAAACATAAGAAATGAGATTTAGCAGATGGAAGGCGCGCCCCGACCGACCACCACCAGTCGCTTTCCCGGTGAACTTTTTGGCAACCAACACCCATACCCCCAACCAGGTACACCAATTTGAATGTTGACTCAATGTCGGTGCTGGGGAATTTTGCAAAAGGAATTCTGCCAGTGCAACAATCGCATGGGTAAAGCCAACGAAAGGCCCGAAAGCTGGTTGACGAATACGACGATCGTGCGATGCATCCTGAACGACGCATCGTTGGTCCCTAAGAGCCCAACAGTTTGCTAGTGGGCAAGTAAGGGTTGAGGGTACCACTTTTGGGATGCTTAATTTAAAGGCAAACCAGAAGGAAACCCACAATTTTGAGCGACCCTCCGACCAACAACCATGTAAGTTCACAGACTTTAGGAAGAACACATTCCTAGGCCAACAATGAAGTCCAATAGTCCAAAAGGGAAAGACCCAAAGATTCTCAACTGTTGCGACCTTTTGCCCTTATTCCCACGCGGCTTTATCTTGTTGGGCCAAGTATTGGGAGGGTCTTTGGGGGGAGTAAGGGAAGCAAAGGGAACACCAATTTCATGTGTCCCTTCTTGTTGGAAAAGACCCCGGACTCATAAGCCTGTCAGACCAATTAGCGCCTAACATCAGACACCCCGAGATCAACCTGTGAGTTGTTCATCCTGGGTTGCCTCGAGTGGAAAACTTTGCAAATGACCTGCCAAGCCTCTGACCGGCAACGCGCAAGACATCTGCAGTGACGAACAATAGACCATCTTCGTTGCTCATGTCATGGTGAAAGCTCCTGTGGGTCATGGTCTTCGGCTCGAGAATCGCTGAGAGCCTCCACCCTTCCCATCCACACAACTTCATAGACGCAAGCTCATCAATGCAAACAACTCCACGACAGCACTTCGACAAATTTCTTCGATCGAAAGGCTGGCCTCTGTTGACGGGAGACTGCCGAATTCATCCACACAACCCTTGGCGTGGCAGAAAACAAACATGTGTTGTGGGCGGCCCCAAAACCAAAAAATGAACAGAACACACAAGCCAAACTTAACAAACAACTTGCTAAGAAGAGTGAAGTTAAGTTCCGGATGCACTTCAACCAGCTCTTGGACTCGACTTTGTTTCCTCGCGAATTCGTTTTCTTGCCAGCAGAATACCCAACGAATTGGGCTCAGCGACCGGTATGAGGTCACCATTACCCGATCGACATACACAAAGCCGCTTGCAGCCAGCCTGCGAGTATCAACGCAGTCGAGAGCGATGGGCATTTTGCGGAAGCCTGCTAAGCAACCCACACATGCCCGGTGCATTGCATTCCCGGCCAGCTTGCGGATCTGGGAGTCGCTCGCCCAATTCCCAAAAGCTCAGGCAGCACCCCTTGTAGCATGGATACCAGCTCAGGAGGCTTGACATCGCCTATGATCACAAGAAAACGATCTGTGAGCCATGGCCATTCGCTGAATAGAGAACCTCCGCGTTGAAATATATCCATGACCAGCCCAGGCCCCAAAACAAGTTTTCACCACCGCACAGATCAACCATGCTTCTCTTCGTGGCTCTCAGTCCGCAATGAGGGAATCACCTTCGTTCCAAAAACCTTACAATTTCCATGAAACCGGGATCCATTGGTGAAATGTCCAGTCCAAAACCCCGCTTGATTCCTTGTTGATTCAGAAAGGTTCCCTCATCCATGCGTAAAATTATCCCAACACCCCTGTTGATTCCTTCCATTTGCTTAAGCCCCCCCAACATTTTTGCTTACAAAAAAAAGAGTCCAGCAGTAATAGATTCCCTTGAAAAACAGGGGAGAACAAGAAGTATTCATTTCAGCAAATGGAAGCCACTTAGCCACCGTTTCGGCAAAGGCCCCTGTCCCCTGCGAGTTGGTCCTGACTTTTGAATCATGCGAGTGGAAGAGTCGGTTGATTTTTTTGAGAAAGGCCTTCCTCTCCTCCGGTCCTGCTCGCTGCGGGGCGGATGGCCCATGACCAGATCCCCCAAGTGGTCCTCCTTGGCGCCTCAGTCGACGGCGGCGAGCGCCGAGCGGAGGGCGGAGGGCGGAGGGCGGAAGCAGGGCAGCAAGCAAAAAAGCCGACAAACAGAGAGGCCCATCCAAGCTGAAACAACGAAGAAGGAAGGAAGGAAGGAAGGAAGGAAAGAAAGGAAGCAGGGAGGGAGGGAGGGAAGGAAGGAGGAAAGGAGTAAAGGAAGGAAGGAAGAAGAAACAAAAGAAAACCAGCACGCCAGCAAACAAGTAATAACCAACAAGCCATCCCACGAACCCACCAGCCATCTAGCCGGTCAACAAGAAGGCTAAGCTTGAATAGCAGCAGTTTGGTGGAAAGTCTACTATCCAATGCAAGAACCTTTTGCGCATGGGTGATACTCATTTCGAGCGAGGATGCAAAAAGCACGTGTGGTAGGGAAACGATTTACCTGAAAACAGGTTTCGTAAAGGGGCTCAAATTCCCCGCTCTAGGAGTGTCTTTGGGTGAGGAACCCTCAAAACAGCACATAACACATGCTTAGCCTTAGAATCGGGACGCTTCTTCTTCGAGGGGCCCATATGTACCTTTCTGTTCCGCCTTTGCCTTTGGGTCAAAGGCAAACCCTGCTGAAAATGCATTGCGAACCAAAGGGCCACTGTTTGCACCGGAAAGCCCCTTTCACAAAGTCATATTGTGCATGGTTGCAAAATTCGTCCAAACTTTGACATGAAACCATGGTTGAAACCAGAACGTTGGTTGGTATTTACTGGGGAATCGTCAATCCAGGGTGTCTTAGGTGCTGCGAACGGATTTCGTCCACAGTAGACCGTCTCAGCTCAAAAAAAACTAGCACCGAAGCCCATGTCCTGCACTGGGCAGCCAAAGCTGTCATTCACCAACCCAAGAAGAATGTTCATGGCGCCTTGCAACTTGTGATTTCCCATGCCCGCAGGCCCAACCTCTGAAAGGGTCAAACCAAACATAGCCATATGGCCATGGGTCAAAACCCCGTACCCTCAGTGAACATCCCAATCCCCACTAAAATAGACTAACATGGGTGGTGCACCTATCCCAAAATGGTACCATTGGTTTTGAACCATGGCCATATAAGTTTGCGCATGCGCATCTATGTCGAGGGAAACTAACCGGTCACGGTTGCGCTAGTCGCCTGGTGTTTTCGGAGGAGTCACTGTCAAAAACGTTGGGTGTTTGCTCAATTCGCTCGCAGCGTGGCAGGCATCAACCTGCAAAGCTACTTTGTTCGGCTAACTGCGCAATAATTTCGCCAATGCCCCCAACAAGGCATTAGGCGAAGCAGTTCCCAACTTCGTCTCCACACGAGTTGGTAAGTTCATTGTTTCAAATGAACATTAACATCCAAACTATTGTCACGCCAACATTTGCGGTGGAGCTGCGGAGGTAAGAAAGCTTTCAATGCCATTCACAATCCATCGATTGAGTTCCATGAATCTTGGACAACTTGGAACTTCTGACATCGTCTAAGTGTCTACAGAATTCTTTTCGTTGGTGGCTCACCTGATGAAAGTTTTCACTTTCAGGATGCGAGCTGCCTTTGGCCAACACGATGCGCCATCATGCCAGAAACACCACGTTTGCTGACACAATTCAATAAGCCATTGGTCTGTACATCTTCCCAGGACTCAACTGGGCCAGGGTCAGCAGACATCCCTACTAAGCCGTGAAAAGAAAAGCAGGGACCGAATGTAATCATCCCCCCCACCCCAACCCCCACACCCCAGCCCACCCCTAGTTGGACACGATCGCTCTGAGTCGAAAGGGGGAAAAGTAGCACTGGAGAAGAAAAATAACAAAAACAGTGTTTGATACCAGGCGACCAGAACAACCGTGACCAACTAACCACTTCGGCGGGATCCAATTTTGGCCCTACCCTGAGCTACCTGGTTTGAGTGGTGCGGCCCGAATGATTCGCCATGGGTTTGTGTCCCTGAAGCAACCCTAAGGCCCCCTTTCTGTGCTCCATATCTCAACCCCCGCACACTGCATGCAGCCCCCTCAAAAAAAAGAAAGAAAAAGACGTGGATTCCTTTCTTTTTTTTCTCCTTTTTCTTCCGGGGGGGTCGTTTCACGTTCACCGTGTCCCTAAAATGAACGACAACAAGGGGCTTGGACTTGGGTGCTGAACTGAGTCGACCGTAGCCCTCTCAGCCCGCCTGCGAGGAAGTTACACACGGAGTGCACCTCGGGCCACTGGGGAAGGAACCAACATCTCCATCAACTCGTGCGGCACGGCACGCTGAAAGTCGACTCTGCACTAAGGTCGGCTCTGGGCAACGCCGACAAATGGCTCCCGCATGTGGCAATTTGTTTTCCAGGTGGCAAGGACCTCAAAGAAGTGGTCCTCCGGAAGAAGATTCGTCAAAAGAGGGTTCCATCTTGGTAGCGGAGTAGCATCAGGAAGTCTACAACTTTGAGAGCTTCCGTGGAACTAGGAACTTGAGCTTGTTCCATACCTTGCTGTTCAAATCGCTATTGTTCGTTAAACAACATCATTTCGGCTTCCCTTTAAAGGAAATCAGAGGTTAGCTCTTTACTTCCATTTGCTAAAGCCCCCTGGGGAAAAACCAAAAAAAACATGTCCAGTAGTGATAGATTTCCTTTGACACCAACAAGGGGAAATACAAACAAATCTTATGCAAACAAGGTAAGAAGAATAGAGCCCTGACTGTGATACTACCTTACGTTCCCCTTAGCTTGGGAGTATGTGGCACATAAGGGGTGTATGTTTGGGGTCCAGGAAAAAAGATGCCACGAAGCAATGTCAACTGCGGATGGATTTATCCAAAGGATCACGTTAATTCGAGAAACCCCTGTAAAATCGTTGAATTCCCCACAGAAAGGGAATCACTGATTCGAAAGCGCTTCCCCCTGCTATTAAATCCACCCCTAAAATGTTTGTTTCAATTTCAATTTCAATAAAGACTCTGCCCCTTTTGCGTTTATTTGACCCAATACTAAACCAATACTAAACTTCGGAAATTGTCAACGCAAATTGCAAATTGCAATGTTAATTTGGCTTTTCAAAATTGAATTGGCAAAAGCAAAACCATCGCTTTGAGCAATTCCACATAACAATGCCCTGCTTGGCAAACTACGATTTTACCAGTGATGGCGCTGGCAAAGTGCGGACCTCGTTTGGAAGAGGACCGTAGCGGAACCCCCTGGGACCCCCTGAGGATCCCCTGAGAACCTATGAATAAGAATGTTTCCCAACATACATTGCTGATTGATAGGGGGGGGGGAGGGTCCTGGGATTATAACAATATATAGGGGGGAAACGATCATGTTGCTTCAGATTGATCCAAAGTAACACTTGCCAGGCTTCGACCAACTTTGAAAGTTAGTTGTTTGTTGGTGGTCTGACCTTTAGCAGTTTCCATGAAAATGCCATGTGTCGCAAAAAAGGCCCAGGCTGCTTTTAAAGAGATCGTTTTGTGGTGCTGCGAAAGCGGGTCACCCCCTCCAAATGGCTGTTTTTAAACAAAAAGACGCCCTCCCGAAAAAAGGTGTGTTGACCCCCTGCAATATGTTTCTTCATCAAACTGAAAAAAACATCCAAACAATGTTGGACAAAGGAAAGGCCCTACGGGCCAGGCCCCAAACAAGCCGGGGTCTCACACCGTGTTTGGTTACGGAATTTTTGAATCGTGGATCTTGGGCCCACAAACCAAAAAGACAGTTGGTTTGGTTTCGAAAAAGTTGTAACCCATAAGCTTGTTCTTTGTTTTAACAACTAATGTTACTCATACTTTCCGAGGGGGGAGGGGAAGCAGGTCTGGGCTTGAAAAAAAAAGGGTAACCCTTAAATTCATGATATGGAATGTTTGGGAAACCAGCCCGAGCTGGAAAACATCTGGAAACAAAGATATGGTCCCCCCCCAAATGAATGTGATTTGGACTGGTCTTTGCAAACCAAAACAGAGAGGCTTGTCCCACTTCGTGTGGCGATCCTTGGAAACCACTTCCCCCAAGCAAAAAGGCGATTAGCTCCAAACCCGTTCCAAGGCTGCGAAGGTCTCAGAGTCTCAGTCCCGAGCCAAGAAGTCCATCTCCCCGAACATCTCGTCCGTGCGCTCGGTGGCCTCGTTGTTCCGCGCCATGGACTGGTTCATACCTGGCCGAGGTTGAGCAGAACATCGGCTGCTCACTGTGATGTCACTGCCGAACCAGCGGATTGGCCTAAAGTGGCTAAAATCGGCTTCAGTCTTCACTACAGTAAACTTCGCCAAACTTTTTGGGCTTAACACTAGAATGGCCCAAACCCCAAAAAGTGACTAAAGTCAGTTCAAATCAGGGAGTGAGGCTGTGTTATCAGCTCCTCAAAAAGGGCGGCTTGGAGTTTGGAGGACAGTTCGGGGAGTTCAGCCTGTTCTTGGGACAGTGGAAAACCAGCAAACAGAAGGAATTCCCGCAGGCCGTGGCCTTTGCTCCTGCGCCTCACGAGCATCCAAACAGCACAGGTCTTTGTGGGAGATTTTAGTGAGTTCCCCATACCACAGACGACAGCTAGTGTTAATCAAACCTCATGTCTACTTTGCCAGTTGGGAGACATCTTGGCACATTTCTGTGGCGGGCGAAGAATCCCCAGTGATCCCAACGGGTTCGCGCAAAAAAACACATCAAAACGAAGACATGGCACGAAACCCGGAAGAACAAGTACGGGATTGTGATCCATCTGGCGACCCAGCCACAGTATGCCCCTACATGAGCCAACAATTCTTGTGTATATTGACCAAGGTGTGGCAAGTAGCGAAGAAGGCATGAGCACCCTGCAACTGACCAAGGTTGTTTACAGCCAGTTGTGGGGATCACTCCAGTTGCAAAGCCTGACGTTAGTTTCTTTATCCCTCCCAGGCAAGACACCACGCACCACAGGCAGTTAAAGCCCTTGGGCTCCTTTTTCACGAGACCCACCCTTGCCAGGTTCTGCCAAGTTCGGGACATCCGAGTTAGATTCGAAACCACCCACGTCTTCACAGGAGAAAATAACCTCAACATGGCCAGAGGGCACGTGCTTGATTGGCCCATGGTGGAGGAAGCTTACCAGCGATGTCCGGTACTTTAGCGATCCAGATCGATGCGCCTCCATGGCTTCAGGCGAGCGCACGCCCCTTGAAACCTCCTGGCTGGCGGCTCCCGAAGGCCGGCGGCCAGCTGACTCCGGGCCGACAGCTTTCGGGCCACCGATCGTGCTTGGCCTCTGCCAGGCTGAGCTTCGCCAAGGCCAGGTGAGCGGGTGACCATCGGCCGCGTCCTGTCACGCTCCATCCTGAAATGGCAACCATCCTCGTGAGGTGGCCCGAACGCTCGGCTTCAACACCCGGAAACACGAATGGATTCATACACACCCATCCGCCACCAAGTTTACTATCTTGGGAATATTTCCAAAATGTTTCCTTTGACATTCCTTTTGAGAGTATCTACCAGACGGGGAGCCTTTTTGGATACTCTCCCATGGTGAAAGGTCCAAAGTGGCACAAACCTGAACTTGCCAGCTCCATGCTGCCGCCCCGCCGCTGGAAAAGGTGCAAGCAGGCATCCCAAAGCTTTGGCATTCCCCGAAACCCTTCAGGAAAAACCTGGAGCCACCTCTCAAAAACCCCAGAGGGGGAAAAAATATGACCATCAGCATCCACCTTGGCATCTTGTTTGAGTGGCCATTTGAACATCGAGCCCTTCCCGGAACCCGATCCAACTGTCCTCTGGTCGCAGAGACCCAAACAACTTGCTGACCTAAAAAGGCAGGCCAGGAACCGATTGGACCGATGCGCGAAGGGCTCACGGAAGACAAGCAGGAAGACAGTGAGGCCTGAGCCCAGAGTCTCCAGCGCCACAAAGATACATTTACCTTTTCTCAAAGTCAAAGGGGGGTCATTATCTATCGAGGTCCAGAACTTGCCCATTCCTCCCCTTCTGTGCCAAAGTCGAGCATCTGGACAATGTTCTCATTTTAAAGAGTGTTCCCTTGACATCACAAGAAACATGTCCCAACCATGCTACTAACCCCCCGAAAGCTTCCCCACCCCCAACCGTGAAGGCTTTGGCCCTGTTTCCCACCGAATACTTGGTCAACGTTCAACTCTGACCCCTCGGAGTTAAATATGTCGTGTTCATCATGGTGGTCAAGCCAAACGTTGACCCAGCATGCGCTTATTCAGCCCTTGGAGGGGGTTGGTACAAATAACGCACATAGCGACCAGCAAAAGCGTCATGTGCCTTCAAAACAGCACGCAAAAAGTCGCATTCCAGTCCATTTACACAGTCCTCGCACACATACATATATCAGCTTGATGGCATTGTGTCACACCACATCATCATCATCATCATCATCATCATCATCATCATCATCATCATCATCATCATCATCATCATCATCATCATCATCATCATCATCATCATCATCATCCTCATCATCATCCTCATCCTCATCATCATCATCATCATCATCATCATCATCATCATCATCATCATCATCATCATCATCATCATCATCATCATCATCATCATCATCATCACGCCACATTTTATGGCGTTCCATGGCACATGCCTGGAAGTACTTTGCAATATCTTATGCACATGGCACATACATACATACATATTCAAATGCACATACGCACACGCACACAGTACAAAGGTCCAGAACATCGCTTGTGTGTGTGTGTGGGTGTCGGCGTGCGAGTCTTCTTGTGGCTTCCTGCCGATATAGGGTTCTTGTTTGGCATATCCCCAAATTGGGGGGGGGTGAGTTAAAGGAGCCCAAAAGCGACCGATCAGTTTTGGGGGCCCATGTGCGGTGCTGTGGATGCTCTCATTTCCCGTGTGATGCATGTCGCAACGCTTGGCTCTGGTGATTCATTTCATTCAGTACTCCTTATTTTTCCTATGATGTTCATCTTTATTATCTCAGTGGTTCGTTCATCTTGTGCTTTAAACGCACATCTACAAGCCTTCGCTTCACAAGGCGCCTAACTTGACCAAACAAGTGGACTCGCAAAGAGTGGCAGTTTGTTTGCTTGAAAGGGACAAGGATGAAACGTCAAAACAGTTCAACTGAAAGCCGGGCTACGCTCCTGTCCACTACATGGAATCCACCAAAAGGTCCTTTTAAGAGGAAAATAGTCCTCCAGGACCTCTCACTCAGGTGCGCTGGCCACGTGGATGGGAGGGGTAGGGCAATGCTAGGTGCGCCACTTGTGACGGAAAGCTCTACACTGATAAACCCATCAAAGCGATGAAGGATGAAGGTTCCAAAAAATGATTTCCCCTCCAGCATCCGGCAACCACTGTTCTTGAGACAGTATTGGGAATTTTTGTGCATGGAAAAAACAGTTGTTAGCAAAGCCGAAGCCAGGAAGGAATTGTTCGGGATTCGCATTGGTTGGCCGTTTCGTGGCCCGAGCTCATCTCGTCCGAGGTTTTCCAAAGTGTTCGAAAGCTCATTTGTTTCATCGCAGCCACCCCAGAAGCAGGTTGCCCTTGGTGAGCCGGTGCATTCCCATGTTCTAAAACAATGAAGTGACTCCAACCCAGCCCTACAAATGCCCGTGCAAGACCCATGTCGCGCGGCCCAAACCCATGCTCCAGCTGCCTCCAGCCCCTCTGAAGCGAGCCCTTGAGGCATTGGTCAAACACACACGCAACTCTCCCAAACTTCCCCTCAAAGTCAAGTCAAGTTCCTTCCCCCTACAAGCCTGTCAAATTCACCTTCCCAACACCACGACGGCTACCTGCCTGTCTAAGATACCTCACCTCCTTCAAGCTCTTCACCTCCGCGCTTTCCTGATCTCCTGCGTCTCCGCCGCCGAACGTCTCAGTGGTGTGGTGGTGTGGACCCAGGCCCGGCGTGCTGCTGCATGTCACTTTCTCGTCCGCGGCCTTCTCTCATCGTCACATCATGCAGTATGTCACGCTCAAGAGCAACTTCGCATCTCCTGCCATGAGCTCCTTCCGAGAATCAACAGCGCGTGGCGCCTTGTAAAAGCCCAACACTTCTCAACTTCGCGTAGTTTGAGCCAAGCATCCTGGCAACGCCTCGCTGATGCCCGCATCTTGGGATACCCTTGATCGGATTGATCCTGCGGCTCTTCCAAAACGCGCACGGCGCTCCATTTCCCAAAAGTCATCCTCCGGCTCGTCTTAGTCCATGTCCTAACCGGCGTAGTCCTCATCGACCCCTTCAGCTTCCTCGTGGTGCACAGCGTAGCCGCGGCAATGAACCGTAGGTGTGCCTCTATGCCTCTTGCACTCATGCAAAGCATGGAAAGGAACACTTTCTGTCATCGTCCTTGTTGGCCCGCCTATCTTCTCTCGAGAGATGGTCACTCACAGCTGGGGTTCATCCACATCGCACAGGTTCGGTCAGAGGTCCACTGGTCGATGGCCCTTCTGACCGCATTCTCAAAGAAAGTCAATTGCCTCACTGGTCTGCAGCGCGCCCAGCGCCCCTTTGCGGCCGTCCGCCTTCCGTCGTTCTCGGGACCCAGAACCAAGGGCTCCACCGCTCTCCTACTTCACTGCGCAGACCATGGATCAGCTTTATTGCAACTGTCTGCCTCTTGACCAAGTCCGCCTCCTTCTTCGTTGATTTTCAGCGATCCATACCCGAACAGCGCCTGGCGCCAACACGGAGCACCGCTCCGCTACCAGTGCGAATGCGCAAATGGCAGCACCGGGCTCTTCTCTACACACTCACTCGAATCCGTAGTGAAACAAAGCAAAATAAACATGATGCTGCTGTGTCTTTTGCATCTGCGCTGCATGTGTGATCTGATCTGCTCTGCCACGCCCTGTCGTTGATGAACGCGCCGCAAACCACATGCAAAGTCAATCCATAATGAAGTATATCAGAATGCCTAATCAGGTCACACATAACCGTGAAACTCACTATACATGGTATGTGTACATTCATAGACCAA